AGTTTACCCACAATGCTAAGCAAGCTGATACCACGGTCATTTTTACAGTCCTGCTGTGACCCCTTTCCCCTTTTCACAGAAATAGTAATGTAAATAACTGTAAATGTCTGAAGTTAGAACAAGTCACATGCTTCAAATACCTAGCACTAACTATAGATACCAGTTTTGTATGGAGCATACATGTTGAGCAAATCTGTAACAAATTACGTAGTGTGTTGGATAAATTGTACCACCTAAAATTTAGGCTAAGCAGAAAAATGTTACATATGCTGTATAGTATCATATTAGTCTATGTGCTGTACTACGCGCTTGCGGATACAACTATAGATTACGGGTTGGGCAGCTATGGACTTACGTTCCCAGTTTATTTAAGCCCCCTGCCCAGAGATGGGAACAGTATTCCATGTGAGGCCGAACCTGTGCCTCGTAAAGTTGCAGGCGGTGTGCCGACATGAAATACTGTCCCGCTCTGCTGAGCACGCCAAGCTTTTTAGAGGCCAATCTGGCCTTCTCTTCCAAGTGACCACGAAACTGCACGTCACTCGATATGTCGACTACGAGGATTCCGATACTGGATGAGGCAACAAGGGGAGTGCCTTGAAACTGAGGAGATAAGACAAAGGGGTTCTTTTTAGCGGTAAACGCGCAAACTTGTGTCTTCTGAGGATTAAACTGGACTAGATTTAGTCGCCCCCAATCCGAGACTTTGTTCAGCAAAGACTCGACTTTAGACACAAGTTTGTTCCGGTACTCGGCGACGTTTTCCCGAGAAATATTGGCACGGCTGGTGTATAGAGCATCACCAGTGCTGTCATCCGCATAGCAGTGAATGTTACCAGTTAGCAACATATCATTGATATGCAGGAGAAACAGCGTTGGTGATAGCACGCAGCCTTGTGGAACACCAGCGTTAATAGGCTTGAAATCAGAACATGCACCGTCTACAACGACCTTGATGCTCCGATCTGCAAGGAAGCTGGTGATCCAATTGCACAATTTCTCGGGAAGCCCATAGGAAGGGAGCTTCGAAAGAAGCGCTTTGTGCCAAACCCGATCGAAGGCTTTCGCAATGTCCAGACTAACGGCCAACGCCTCCCCCTTGAACTCTACTGCCGCCGCCCATCTATGGGTCAGGTAGACCAGAAGATCACCAGCTGATCGACCCCGACGAAAACCGTATTGGCGGTCACTAATCAGCTGGTGATCCTCAAGGTACCGGATGAGCTGGCAGTTAATAATGGATTCCATTATTTTGGAGAACAAGGAGGTGATCGCGATAGGCCTATAGTTGGACGGGTCTGAGCGGTTGCCTTTTTAGGGATCGGGTGGACAAAAGCTGTCTTCCATGAATTCCGGACTACGCCTTGGGAGTAGGAGTATCGGAAAAGACGCGTTAGAACCGGTGCCAACTCCGGAGCACACGTCCTCAGCACAATTGGGGGGATTCCGTCAGGCCCACTCGACTTCTGGATGTCCAGGGAGAGAAGTGCTTTGCGAACCGAGCGCTGTGAGAACAGCACATCTGGCATGGAGCACTCACACCGTGGGGTGGTCGGCGGTGTTTTCCCCGCGTCATCAAGAGTCGAGTTGGACGCAAAAAGGGAGCCTAAAAGGTCAGCTTTGTCTTTTGCGTCTTGGGCCAGTGAGTCGGCCTCCCTGTGCAGAGATGGTAGTGATAGCTTACAGAAATTCCCTTGGACAGCCTTGGCGAGAGACCAGAATGCACGGATTCCCGAAGGAAGGCGAACTAGTTTCTCGCCAATTCTGCCTATATGCTCTGACTTTGCCTTGGCAATAACTCTTTTGAAAGACCTGGAGGCGAAGTTATACTTCTTTTTAAGTGTGCTGGTGTTTACATCCCGAGTCGCCGAAGCCGCAGCCTAGGCTTGATAACACTCCTGCTTACTGCGTAATGCAGTCTTACAGAAGCGACCAAAACAAGGCTGAGATCTGCCTCTGATGGGTACCACAGATGATGGAATAAATAGTTCCATTCCCTGTAGCACCACATCAGTGACAGATCCCAACAGCGCTGGGATCATCCGGCGAGAAGCAAACCCGCCCCCATGGGTAGGATGCAAAGAAAGACCGCATTCCGTCCCAATCCGCCGATCTGTAATGCCAAACACGGCGGCAACCTGCAGAACGCAACCGCGAAGGGAGCGTGAGTGGCACCACACTCCGGATCAGACAATGGTCAGAAGAGCCGAGAGGGGCATCGACGGAAACCTGATATCCGTCCGGATGAGAGGTCAGCAGAAGGTCCAACAGGGAAGGTGTATGATCCTCCACATCTGGAATCCGCGTAGGCGAAGTAACTAGTTCTGTCAGACCATATGCCAAGACAAAGTCATAAACAGATCTCCCCGCATGATCGGTTAAACGTGAACCGTGAACCGAACCATTCGGCATGGTGGGCGTTAAAATCGCCAAGGATCACGATCTCTGCAGATGGGAGGATAACAGTGGTAGAGCCACGCGGCAGCTTTTGCTGTCGCACGGATGGGCCGGCTCGAACCGGGGTGGTACCACGACCTCACAGAAAACCAGCCTGAAGTAGAGGTTTACCTCTGCGTTTCGCTTGGTGAGTGCAGGTGGCCGGAGGCCCTTTTTACTGGAAATGAGGCATTCCATCTTAGTCCTCACGGGTGACAACGCATCTACATATTGATTTGTAATAGAGGATAGATGTAGATGTCTATGGGCCACAGCAACCACTTACCATCAGGTGGACTGTGTGCTCGTTTGTCACCCTTTTCCTATATAAAAAAAGGGACCTGTTGTAGCAAGGAATCTGTAGCCAATAACATTAAGCTGCTATTTCACGCTGGTATTCTTTGAGAGTGCGGTCTTTTCCCGATCGATACGATCCATTCTTGGCTTTTTTGTGCCAAGTTAATTTCACGTATTTAATAATAATTTTCTTCACTTTTTTTACTTCCTCGACATCTCGGTAGGTGCTGAGTTTTTGACTGTAGAGAATAAGTGTTTCTCTGACTTACTAATAATAATTCCGGGTAGGGATATTTGTCTTTGTGCAATTTATGCCTGTTAAACGCCCCCACGATTCAGAATAAAATACTAGTGTAAAAGGCTTAAAAAAAAAACAAGTAAAATAAGGTATAACGGATACCTATTTATAAAGGTAGTGTGGTCGCTCTGAAGATAATCTAACGAATATAGAATAAAGCATACAAGGGGTTTCGTATTGGTAATGTGTTGGTATTGGTATGTGTAATTGGGTTTGTAAGATAAGAAAGTGAGTATAATTACAGTGATGCATATCACCTCATCCTTCTTATCTAACAGAGTAAAGTATTTTTTATTTATTTATCATCCAACACATAATAATATTCAACATGAATTGATACACACTAGAACATGCCACTAAAAACCTCATGGGTTTAACTGTGGCGTTTGGCCGTTTATGCTACTGTATTTAAAAACAATATGTTTACTACATCTAAAGATTTTAAATTAATCTAAATTTTTTTTAGTAATTTGTAAGAGATAAACAATAATAATTAATCTCTTTCCCGCTTGGCGTAATACGTATATTTATACGTAGGTAATAAATGCTTAGGGTGACTTGTTTTATCCATAATTATATATAATACTGATTCTTCACATAAAATATTCATGTGCACCGTAATTAAAACATCTACCGCATTTCAGTATGTGAACAATGCTGAGTTATTATCTTTATATTGTATATTTTTTTATGTTAACAATTGTTTTAAATATAGATATCTGTGATTTACAGATGTTCTCAATATAGGTCTTAAAAGGTCGACCCGTAATCAATATAATCAACTTTTATATGGATTTTTTTTTATTTCAATATAACAAATTTAAGTTCAATATAGCAATTTCAGATTGCATGCGTCCGTGGATTGCAGAAGCTACTCAGCTGTATCATCAAAATCCGGTAAGGAATATAATTTACGTAGTTTTAAAGAAAATACGGGAAACATAAATCGAAATTGTCCTTAAATTTATTTTCAAATATCACCACGCTATAGCTATGGTTGCAGCTCGAATATGTCGGTTCTAATTGGGAAAGACCACATTCTTACATAATACCAGCGTAAAATAGCAGCTGAATGCTGCTATGTTTCGTATGATGGAAACGAGGCATTCCATTTAAGTCCTCAGAAGTGACAACGCATCTGCATTTTAATTTTTAATGAAAGATAAATGTAGATGTCTATGGACCATAACATACACTTAATATCAAGTGGACTGTGTTTTTTTTTATTTTTTTTTTATTTTTATAGGATAAGGGTGACAAACGAGCACACAGTCCACCCGATAGTAAGTGGTCACTGTGGCCCATAGACATCTACATCTTCGATTAAGAGTCAAAATGGAGATGCGTTGTCACACGTGAGGACTAAGATGGAATGCCTCGTTTCCAGTAAAAAGGGTCTCCGGTTCTCTACACTCACCATACGAAACACAGCAGCGTTAAGCTGCTACTTTACGCTGGTATTCTGTGAGAGCGTGATCCTTCCCCGGTCGAACCGACCCATTCGTGCTACAACCATAATATAGATGCAGCATGGCTCTACCACTCGTATGTCACTCTTATTCAGCCACATTCTATAAAAAATACTGTACAATTGAATACATGCCTGCTGTTGGTGACTTTTTATCAAGGTTTGTTCTACTTTGTGAAATTCTGAACAGTGGTGCTGGATGTCATGTAAGTAAACGATAACCCACAATCATAATTTCATCCGTATCGTGGACTTTTTACACATACTTATTATACACAATTACACACATGACCATGTAAAAATTGTTTCGTGTGGGAATTGAGTCATTTTTGGAATGAAAATAATTTGGAAATTTCCAGTAGTAAATAACAACACAATTAATCGTTTCCTTATTGAAATATATTTACGTATTCATTTTACAGAGATAATTAAAGAAAATGTATAGACATTCTTCAAAATTTGTTAAATTCAACAAATTTGGTATAAATTTAATAATATTACTTATAAAGACGGTGCAAGTGATCTCACCAGAGAGTCATATTCCTCCGCAGAACATAAAGGCGTTTCAACTTGTTCCACTTCTGATAATTTTGAAAAATCTACGTTATACTTAAGTTTATCACTATCATAAGATACCATATATACAAAATTATGACCCCACAAGATATCACTTTCGGTGTAACTAGATCTCGCCTGAATGGGCTGTCCAGTAGATTCTATAATTCCTTCAAACACAACTATTATCTCTACTTTACTACAAAGAAAATCTGCTGCAGATGTGCGATAAAAAGGACTATTTGCATCAATTACGTGAACTGCGTGAATAGGCCATAAAAAGAATATTGGTTCACATTCCACGATTTCAACTTTTAACTCTATTTGCTCTTCGCTTGATATATTATTTTCGCAGTCAGTGTTATATCTTAATACATAGGCTTTGGGAATAATATTAAGTATTCTTGATTTTCTCACATCACCAACTCTGAATATTAGGCATAATTGTGCATCTCTCGTAGTTATAACAGAGTACTTACTAAAAAGTATTGTTTGAGTTCTAGCTATAGGCCTTGTTAATTTTGCAAATAATATTCCGATCATAACTGACTGGAATATAGAACTTACAATACATTGCAAACACATAGCAATTATAGTCTCCGGACATTCTAAAGTTATCGATCTTCGACCATATGCAACTGTCGTGTGAACTTCTACACTAAAAAGAAATGTCGACGTAAAACCAAAAACGTTCTCAATGCAAGGTGTGAAATATGTAGTATTCAGATTCTCTGGAAGGTGTGATTCAATGAAATCTCCGTGTATGTAGGAAATAATCCAATAAATAAATCCAAAAAGAAGCCAGTTACCAGTAAAGGCCATGAAGAAAAAAGTGAGTGTCCATCTCCACCTTACTTCAACAAGAGCAAGGAAGAAGTCGGAGAAAAATTTCATACCGTGTTTATGGTAAACATTTATTTCCCCGTTTTTAAGAACAGCTCTCTGATAACGTGAATGTTTCTGGTTGTTAAATAATCCTGTGTAATAAAAACAATATTTACATTGAAGAAAACATAAATAAAGATGTCTTGGTAGCGATAGAGAATCCTTCACTATCATACCTTCCTATAGCTGTCGTAAAATCCCAGAAAGAGTTTTTTCTTTAAACTCCTATGAGCTATATTGTAAAAATCTTAAAAATCCATAATCGAGAAACATATTCGGCAGTGAAATTGCAAATCTGTTCGTAAATACTATAAACATTGTGATTATTACAAATCTTTGAAATGTATTCAGCTTTGAACAACTACGAAATTAATTGAGCAGGACAGAATCGAACAGAATTATTTTTATTCAATTTAGATTACAAAAATACTTATTAAGTCATTTGTCACCACAGTCGTCACTGGTTCGAAAGAAAATATCTGTCCTTGGAAGAACCAGCAAGAAACCCAGCGGGACTTTTTTTAAGCATTAATTTACATTATATTATTTTTTTGCACAATTAAATATGGAAATATTAGGAAATAGCTTGGTAGCGATCACCTCATTCGCTGGGGTTATTATCAATCGTGTACTCCTTTATCATCATCATTACAGCCATTCACAAGTCCACTGCTGAACATAGGCCTCCTCCAAGGAATGCCACAAAGTACGGTCCTCAGCCACCTGCATCCATCGACCATGTATTTAATAAACATTTTTTTCCAAATAACAATTTTAAACTTTTTGTAGATAGGTCCTGCCCCATGAAAAAAGTACTCTTTATTATTTACAAAATACATCACTAAATTTCTCTATTCTGCAATGTTGATGAAACTATTAAAAAAGTAAAGTGAATATGCTTAAAGACAATAAACTCTATGTATTCCATAGCACAAGATAAAGTAATATATATTAAATAAATATAAAGTTATACATTAAATAAAGGGAAGGAAATTTTAAATATCACTTACTGTTTCGTGGACGATATACTCCTGGAATTAATACAGACATGTCATGAGAAATGTTTTGCTTCTCTTCATTGCGTCTTGTTCTGTTTGTTTGGATAGATCCAGGCATAATCCTGGAAGAAAGTGTTAAAATTTTAATCCACAAACGGAAAATAGGACTGGATTTTCACTTTTCTAACCTGTTTCTTAGATAAATTTTATAATATAAACAATAAAAACACTTGCTCTATGAAAAGAATAATAAGTTATATATTATCTCATTCAACTGCCGAGTAATTTAAGCAAGAAAGTAATGTTATAATCATAATGGAATTGTTTGATCTCAGAATCTTACTGATGCGGGACATGAAGCTGATAATATATATATAAAGACTGTACACGTTAGATAAGGTTAAATGCGCAAAGCGGAATACAAATAAAAATGCAAAGACAGATAATACTATGAAATAATATAAAAAGATACTAAAATGTTTAATTTTGCTTTAACTACTCTAACTAACTTACTCTGTACGTGGTAGAGCCAAGTTGCAGCTATATTTATAATATAGTTGTAGCATTAATGGGTCGGCTCGACCGGGGTAGGACCACGCTCTCACAGAATACCAGCGTAAAATAGCAGCTTAATGCTGTTGTGTTTCGTATGGTGAGTGTAGAGAACCGAAGACCCTTTTTACTGGAAAAGAGGCATTCCATCTTAGTCCTCAAGGCTGACAACGCATCTGCATTTTGATTCGTAAAGGAGGATAAATGTAGATGTCTGTGGGCCACAGCAACCACTTTCCATCAGGTGGACTGTGTGCTCGTTTGTCACCCTATTTCTAATTTAAAAAAAAAACTAATTAATTGGCTTTAATGTCTTTTTAAAATTCTAGCCTTCATAGAAACTTGTAAGATAATATTTCTATCTAATAATAAAATGCTTAAAATTATCTTTGTATGAAGTTTCAACTGTTTTTTTTTTGTACAAATTCTTTGTAAATTGTGTGCTTTACAAAATTCAGGAGCAATATTGTAAAGCACATACAGGAAAAAAGGAAGAAAATCGCTTCAAGATATCTTATTAGAAATTTAAAATTGTTGATTAATAATGTGATTTTTGAGGTAAGAACAGCGATTATTTGCCTGTCTGCCTATCTGTTGACTGACTGCCAGTGACAACTCATAAGTATTACTATAGCTACGTACTTATCTACTATCTTTCATCTATATCTATACAAATAAATAAAATTGTCTGTCTGTCTGATTGTTCCGGCTAATCTCCGAAATGGCTGGACTGATTACGACGGGACTTTCACTGGCGGATAGCTGATGTTCTAAGGAGTAACTTAGGTTCTGAGCAATATAATTAAAACTCTAAATTACATGCGGGTGGAGTCGCAGGGAACAGCTACTGGGCCATGCCACGCTACCTAGTGGAAAAAGTAAAATTATACATTAACAGATATTGATGCTATGGATGATAATAACCCCTGGGATTGAGGTGATCGGTATAAAGTTATTTCTCGTTTTTTTTAATAGTGTTAAAGTATTAAATGATTCTAAACTGTACTATTTGAAAAAATAATGTTCTTGCTGGTTTTTTTTTATATAAATCTATACAAATAAATAAAATTGAAGTGTCCGTTTTGATTTTAAAATAACAGCCTTTTACTAAATGCATATGAAAGTATATACGGTACTAAAAAAAAATATTTTAAATTTTTCTCTATCTGTCTGTCTGTTTGTTCCGGCTAATATCCGAAACTGCTGGACTGATTTTGACGGAACTTTCACTGGCAGATAGCTGATGCTATTAGGAGTAACATAGGATACTATTCATCATCTGGGTATCGTAAGAGGTGACAGAGGGAAAATAATCAGGAATTGAGTAGCAGCGTCTTTCTAACAAAAACTAATAATAAAAATAAACTGCAGTTGCCAAGCCGTTCCCAAGCGATGCAACTACGGCCTTATGAGGCAATCTATGGTAAAGGCATATGTTCAGCAGTGGACTTTTATAGGCTGTAATGGTAACGGTATTAATTAAATAATTTTCTTTGAAGTTAAAAATAAAGTTAAACATTATAGAATACTTGCTATGAAACTGAACATTATAATATTGTATTTTAAACAGAACATAGATAACAAAAGTGAACCATGTCCTATCGCAAGCGTAAATATACTTCGAGAAGATTGAGATAAACAATAGTAATATCTTGTTTCTTTTAAAGTAGCAAATGATATGGGTGATAAATCATATAGGTACAGTAGTAGACTATTACGGGTTGATAATGATGATAAAGCAAAAGAAAAAGATAAGTTTAAAAAACCGGAAGGAAGTTAGCGTAGGATATATTATTTTAATTAAACTATATGCCAATTAATTGCTCCTTAAATGCTCTCTTAGAATCCGTAATTGCTATTCATTCACGGCACGCACACATTCATGCCACGTCTATTACTATTAGTTACTAATTAATAATAGTAGTAGTAAAAGTATAAGTTTTTTGTTTAAAGATTTGCTCTTAGTTTGCCTTATTCATTAAAAAACAAAAATTTGCTGTTGCACGTATGGGCCGGCTCGAACCGGAGTGGTACCACGACCTTACAGAAGACCGGTGTGAAGTAGAACCTCTGCTTCTGCATTTGCAGAGTGCAGGTGGCTGGAGGCCCAATTCCTCCCCCCCCCTTAACATGGTAGCGGAGTTAAATAATATACTATACTACCGCAGGAGGTTACCAGCACCCCCGATGACGGAGAATATGAGCATCCGACCGTTACACTTTAAAAAAGGTCATCTGTTGGTTCGTATAAACTGGGTATTAGTAACTAGAGAATACTATGTGTCAAACCATTTATCCTGGGTCCATTTGTCGCGAAAGATAGTAAGTGATGCTTCACCTGCGTAGCTCCCCTGCCCCGTCGTACACCAAACCGGCGTAGAGAGTAGATTCGTCTTGTTCGACAAGTCAACCATGATGATGAACTTAACTTCAACATGAATGAACAAGCCACGAGAGAATAAAAAACTCATTATTTTTAATTTTTCCTAATCGATTGTAAAGTTTAAAATGTTATAATGAAATCCGGAGACAGTCACAAAACGACCCAAAACTGGATCAGACCAGTTGGGGTTCACTAACAGTACTACCAGCCCACTAGCCTGTGAGTTATGACTCCTAGTCAACGCCATCATTATGTAAACAATAGGTATACATCAATTCCTTACGAAACCCTACGCTTCCTCATGTTCTACAGCTAGCTATTTTTATTTTTGTTCAAACACTAAACAATATATCACAAACTATTGTACTAATCACTAGTTTAAAATAGTCACTTTGTTTATTTTTAAGTTAAATAAAGAGCGTCATCCTATTTATTCATGATGAGGATGGATGTTTGACTATTACTTTTCTCAAGTAACTAAAAAAGTGAGCTGTTCGGTCTGACGTCACTATAAACTTTTATAGTTTTCACTATTAACCTGAGATTAATTTTATTGATTTTCAACAAACTAATCGATTTGAAGCAATCCTTAATTGGGAATACTGTGCAAATAAGTGAGTTATTTAATTAGTTTTACCGTATATGACAATCACTTCTCGAGAAATCTTTGCTCATTTTATCAGTCAGTAAAAGTCCACAATAACAACATGCGACCCCGAGAACATTGCTTCTTCATCGGTTGTCGGTGGTTTGAACTACATGGCTGCCCCATTGCCACTTCAGTTTACTAATCCGTTGGACTATGTCGGTTTATCTGGTTCTACTGCGTATATTCTCATTTCTAAATTTATCACGCAGAGAAACTTCGAACATAGCTCTCTCTATAGCTCGCTAAGTGACCTAGAGTTTCCTGATACGAACACGTACTAGTGAGACATGCAGGAATTTGACGGATATAGGTGGCTCAGGACCGTGCTTTGTGGCATTATTTGAGGGAGGTCTTTGTTCAGAAGTGGACTTGTGAAAGGTTGTAATGATGATGTTGACAATGAATTAAAGTTACAATTTTTTACACTGTCTCAAGCACTCGATTCACAAAATTTTACAGGCGTATTCACAAACATTACTATGGTCTCAACAACTATTGAGTGACAAACGGCACTATGTGTTCATTATAGTGAACGCACAAAGTAGCTCGCTTGGTACTTTACGCAACGCAAAGTGTGACAAATAAACACAAATTTCAAACGAATAGGTACTGTAGATAGATAGATAGATAACTCTTTATTGCATTTATACAAAGTGTTACAATTACGGATTAACTTAAGAACTACAAACGGTGGTCATATCGCTTTAAGCGATTTCTACCTGACAAACCGAACGTAATAGGGAACAATGTAATATATTTTGACGGATAGGTGCAACGTGCAATATAAAATGAAACTGAGGACAAAAACTTATAATTAAACACGATTTATATAAATATATGAATTATATAATATATAATATTATAAAATTAATAAATATAAATAAACAAATATATACATATATACGTACATATAGATAAATATATACATATATATATATATACACACATACATACATACATATATATATATGCAGAGAAAATTAAGCAAAAAGAAAAAAAAACAAGTATTTATAAAAAGAGGAAATGCATATAATTTATAATTATGACGGGAAATTCAAATAATACTCCTTCAGTTGTTTTTTAAAAATCTGTAAAGATTGCGCTTGCTGGATGTTAAGTGGTAATGAATTCCAGAGTCTGGTTGCTTGTGAAGTAAATGACTTATTATAAAAAGAAGTTACGCTGTAAGGAGTGTTCAAAGCCAAGCCATACACTGAACGCAAACTACGATCATGAAATTCATATCGATAGTGAAATTGTTCCTTAAGGTACCTTGGAGATTTCGGATCAAACAGAACACAAAAAAGTAAAGAAAGTAAATGAACATTCCGGCGAAGGTGAATTGGGAGCCACTTGAGTTGATTTCGAAATTGGGATACATGGTCATATTTGCGTAAGCCAAATATGAACCGAATGGAAAGATTTTGAAGACGCTCAAGCTTGTTTAATTGCTCCATGGTAATATCAGTGTAGCATATATCAGCATAGTCCAAAATAGGCAACAAAATGGAATGTGCTAACGCAATTTTGGTAG